CATCTAAGGTGTGTTCTGTGCAGTGTGCAATAATTAACATTGATTAGGAACTAAGCCTAGATTAGCTAAGATAAATTAATTATTTAAAAGAATTGTCTGCCTATAGTTTGCCTTTCAAATAAATGTACATACAATACAGGGTGTCACTTTAAAATAAATGTACATACAATACAGGGTGTCACTTTTAAATAAATGTACATAAAATACAGGCAGGGGTCAATATAATTCCCAAAAAAGCTGATTTTCTCGATCCCAAAATTTTAAATTATCATATAAAAAAAATTTGCCCCCAATTAAAGAATTTGCCCCCATTTCTTTCAAATTTGTCAATCCCAAATGGGATTGAAAAGGGAATTATATTGACCCCTGAATACAGGGTGTCACTTAAAAAAAATTTACATACAATACAGGGTGTCATTTTAAAATAAATGTACATAAAATACAGGGTATTATTTTAAAATAAATGTACATACAATACAGGGTGTCACTTTAAATAAATGTACATACAATACATGGTGTCACTTTAAAATAAATGTTTATACAGTACAGGGTGTCACTTTAAAAATAAATGTACATACAATACAGGGTGTCACTTTAACCTAAATGTACATACAGTACAGGGCCGGGTGTCACTTTAAAATAAATGTACACACAATACAGGGTGTCATTTTAAAATAAATGTACATAAAATACAGGGTATCATTTTAAAATAAATGTACATACAATACAGGGTGTCACTTTAAATAAATGTACATACAGTACAGGGCCGGGTGTCACTTTAAAATAAATGTACATACAATACAGGATATCATTTTAAAATAAATGTACATACAATACATGGTGTCACTTTTAAATAAATGTACATAAAATACATGGTGTCAATTTTAAATAAATGTACATAAAATACAGGGTGTCACTTTAAAAATAAATGTACATACAATACAGGGTGTAACTTTAAAATAAATGTACATACAGTACAGGGCCGGGTGTCACTTTAAAATAAATGTACATACAATACAGGGTGTCATTTTAAAATAAATGTACATAAAATACAGGGTGTCATTTTAAAATAAATGTACATACAATACAGGGTGTCATTTTAAAATAAATGTACATACAATACAGGGTGTCACTTTAAAATAAATTTACATACAATACAGGGTGTCATTTTAATACATACAATACAGGGTGTCATTTTAAAATAAATGTACATTCAGTACAGGGTGTCACTTAAAAAAATGTAGTTAATGCCAAATGTAAAAATCTGATCAAATTTTCGGTTTTTGTTCAATCTAATAGGAGGGACATAAAAACATAGAAAACCTCATGTGATGGAATACAAACTTGCAGGTACATTTCAAAGTCTGGACAAGAATCTGGGAATGTTTAAATATTTCTAAATTGTATTCTGTTAAAGATGTGATTTAACACCTTCACTCTGACAGGAGTTAATAAAAACCGTAAATGGACCAATTTTTTTAACGACTTCTACCTTCCATTTCTTTTTCCTACGTTATCTTAAAATCTTTTTCCTTTCCTTACTTTCGTCTTCCATAGTTTACCCTTTTCCTACACGGCACTTCCCTACCTTTCCATACCCTACCTTTCTATACCCTACCTTTCTATACCCTACCTTTCTAGTTACCATACCCTACCTTTCCAGTTTCCATACCCTACCTTTCCAGTTTCCATACCCTACCTTTCCAGTTTCCATACCCTACCTTTCCAGGTTCCATACCCTACCTTTCCAGTTTCCATATCCTACCTTTCCAGTTTCCATGCCCCACCTTTCCAGTTTCCATACCCTACCTTTCCAGTTTCCATACCCTACCTTTCCAGTTTCCATACCCTACCTTTCCAGGTTCCATTCCCTACCTTTCCAGTTTCCATATCCTACCTTTCCAGTTTCCATGCCCTACCTTTCCAGTTTCCATACTTTTTCTTTCCAGTTTCCATACCCTACCTTTCCAGTTTCCACACCCTACCCTTTCCAGTTTCTACACCCTACCTTTCCAGTTTCCATACTTTACCTTTCCAGTTTCCATACCCTTCCTTTCTAGTTTCCATACCCTACCTTTCCAGTTTCTATACCCTACCTTTCCAGTTTCTATACCCTACCTGTCCAGTTTCCATACCCTACCTTTCCAGTTTCTATACCCTACCTTTCCAGTTTCCATACCCTACCTTTCCAGTTTCTATACCCTACCTTTCCAGTTTCTATACCCTACCTTTCCATGCCCTTTCATTCAATGTATTCAAATTGTTTCAAAGTTTTCTCTTGTATTAAGTGTTTGTGAAATTCCAATTCCTAGAATCGCCTTTTTTACTTTACCTTTAAATCTACGTAAATACAATTTCACAAACAAATCTTTTTACGTTGCAATGAAGGTTTAAACTTGTAATTTTGTTTTGGAATGTTCAGGGTAAAATGTTGTTGATAGAATTAAGTAACTTAACTAAACTTTATATTTTATCATCTGAAAACTTAAAAACCTTGAAAATTATAAACATTAAACATGGGTGGCATCAATAGGACAGTTTTCACAAAACTTCAGATGCCAGCACTCACTTTTTTATTCCTTTTGCAAAAAAACACGCTAATTTCATGGTTTGATTATTACAAGTTTTAATATTTTCGAAAATTATTCTATCAATAGACACAAATTAAAAGTAATAAATTGATATAAATGAATATCACTTGTCATTCTTGTAATTTTTTTATTTTATTTATTTAAATATATATGCATTTAGTTAGCTTTTATATCCAGTTTCGCTTATTTGCACGTCATTTGTGACAATTTCTCTCTTTTCATTTATATAGTTCCAAAGGTTTTGGTTTATAACCATAGGATTTGTTAAAAGAATTTTTCTTTTTTGAATCACATGATTTATTTCTAACAAAAAGTTTGTGATTTTCTAAAATGAGAAAAAGGATAAAAGTGTGTCAAGATTTCTCTGATGAGAAAAAAAGTGTTATTTTTTTCTTCCAGACTTTTAGGGCGCTTCTCTTGATCGCATCCCTTTTTAGTAATAATTTTAGCTTCTAAATATTATCTTAACTGCAACAACTTCTTTTTAGAAACATTAAGGAAAAATAACAACTTTCATTGGCTGATTTCACAACTCTGATTTTTGACCATAAACCTTTTTGAGTGGTGGCATGACAAGTTCTACAGAAATATTGACCGTTGTGACGGTAAAATCTCTTATTAGAAAATATTTTACTTTCTATTCTAAAATCTCCCGAAACTAAACTTATCTGTTTACAATCTGATAACTAATGTTTACTAAACTATAGAAATTTAATTTGTTTGATGTTCAATTAATATAGAATAGATTTGAACCAGGTTCATCATATCTCAATATTTAAATCCACATTTACAAGAACCAAACTTAAACCTGAAATTCAAGATTTAACTCAGGCTCCTTAAAGGATCCGTAAAATTAAGTATACGTTAGTAGACTCATTTATAGAAATTAAATTTTCAATCATTTTTTTAAATTAAGTTTTTATAATTTTTTTCAAATACTAAAAGGGTTTCTCCGTTGAACCTGAGCTGAAAACTTTAGAATTTGAAACCTTAAATCCCGATCGCTTAATCTGAATATCCAATGTGGACACTTTTAATTTCCTTCTTAATCCACACTTTTTCTTTCTTTTTCTCTCTTGATACAAACTACAGATTAAATTGATATTAAAATTAAGAAAAAGAGAAGATCAAGCATTGATCTCGATATCCACAATTATAAATGTTTAGCTCAGAGCTGGGAACTTTTGGGTTGAATATATATATATATATATAATCCCAATCGTTTGATCTGAATATTCACTGGGGGCACTTTTAAATTCCTGCTTAATCCACGCTTTTATCTCACCCTCAACTAAGCTTGCGGTGTGTACTGCAGTGATTTGCAGTAATCTGACCAAATAAATGGCGAGTTTTAGTGGAGACTGATCTATTTTGGATATCCCTTCCAGATTCCGACCAATGAGAGTAAATGGCGCGTAAAATTTAAAATTTTCCAGTTTCTAATTATCTGTTCAATATTCCTGAGATCGATAAAAAGAGGAGATCAATCCTTGAACTCAATATCCACAAGTTTTCAGCTAGAAAAGAAAGCAAAGTTGAGACCGGTTACAGACTTCATTTAAAGTTAAGGATACCAAATAACCAATATGCAGACGATACTTTTTCTGTCTGCCTATGGTTTCTATCTGCCTATTATTTCTATCTGTCTATGGTTTATATCTGGCTTTTGTGTCCATCTGTCTGGTGGTTTTATGGTTTCTATCTGTCTATGGTTTCTATCTGTCCATGATGTATATCTGACTATGGTGTCTATCTGCCTGTTGTTTCATAGTTTCTATCTGTCTATGGTTTCTATCTGTCTATGGTTTCTATCTGTCTATGGTTTATATCTGTCTATGGTTTCTATCTGTCTATGGTTTCTATCTGTCTATGGTTTATATCTGTCTATGGTTTATATCTGTCGATGGTTTATATCTGTCTATGGTTTATATCTGTCTATGGTTTATATCTGTTTATGGTTTATATCTGTCTATGGTTTATATCTGTCTATGGTTTCTATCTGACCGGATATCCTTGTGATTAATTTGCCTGGCTGGGTTTCTATGAACAGTTTTTACATTTATAGAAAGAAAGTCGATTTTCTGTATTTAGAATCAGTGCACTGTATTCTGTATTATTATATTCTGTATTCTATGTTTCCTTTATCTTGTTGAGTTTATTTTAATTCTTTTTTCTGTTTTCTGTAATTCTGTATTTCTGCATTTCTGCATTTCTGTTTTTCTGTTTTGAGATTCTGTATTTCTATTATTTAGTTTCCTATTTATTACTTACTGTATTCTGTATTCTGTATTCTGTACCCTGTATCTTGTGACACAGAAATCTACATCCTGAAAATTGAATTTGAAATCTATAATTGGCAATTTTGAAATTTAATTCAATTCATATTTTTATTCTTTGTTTAATTTCTAGATTGAAGAACCGAAATCTAGTGGATAATGGACTATCATTAAACTCTACAACTGTCCGGTATATTTTCTAAAACAAGAGTACATAAATACATTATAGTACACTATAACATCTAAGATGACACAAATATAAGATTCTAAATATATAAAGTAGTAATCTCTGTTTGTCTGTATGTATGTCAGATCTTAATTCATGAACCCCTAGACCGATTTGCCTCAAACATTGATCAAGAAACTAATTAGAACGAGGTAAATGGTCTTGTCTTAACTTTAAAAAATTTAAGTTGGCTGACTGTAGCGGAGAGAGATAAAACTAGGTTATATTGCTCTAGTACATAATACATGTACTACACAGTACACAATACATGAAGATACTACAGTACACAAATACTAAATTTGGCACAAAAACACTACTGCATATTACACAAGTACTCTTTCCAGTACAAAGAAAAATAACTATTTTACACAATCTTACACAACTATAATTTCAAAGGACAAAAAAAATACATTTTTGAGGTCAGACATTTTCAAAACAAAAATATTTTATTTTAAAACTCAGATGTGCTGTTTAATACAAAACTCCATGCAAACCTACACATGATGTTATAGCACACAAAGTCATGACATTTTTCTAATGTTTTTTTTTGCTAAAAATAAATTGTTTTTTTCCCTAAAAATAAATGTATTATTACTCTGATCTTTGTAAAGTAATGTTCCAGCCTAACCGTAATCTATTTTGTAGAGAGATTAAGTTTATGAAGGGTGGAAGTGATGTGCGGTGTATTTTGAGGTAAATCAATTTTCTTCAATTATATCTTTTTCATTAATTTTCTTAATCTTCCTAACCCACTTTCTTCCAGACATGGCTATTGTAAGTTTTAATATCAACAAAAAATTTATGACTTAGATCAATTTTTTAGTAGGCATCTTAAACCTTTATTTGTCAATATAAAGATATGTATTTAAATAAAATTCAGTAATCAATGCGTAAGTTTAAACTTTTCTCCTTTGAATAAAATTCTTTTGATAATTTCTTTTTCAAATTAAATCAAATCATAATAACTTAATTTTCTATAATACTATAATTCTGCATCAAATTATTTATTTATGTTCATAAATACGATTCATTTTCCCCAAGAAATAAGTATTTTACAAAAACGAATTTTTGATGGATTTAGTAAAGAAAATGTTTATTTTTTAAAATTGCAATATTTAGGGGCGGGGGGTGGGGATATGGCCTTTTTCTTTCTTTACATTTGCTGTATGGCTAGACCATACCAATTCTCTGTAGTTCGGAAAAATGTTTTTAAAGCTTTAACACGCTTGTTTAGCTTAAAAGGAGTAAATGGAAAAATCTACCAGAATAGTGCATATTTTTGTTCACTGTATTGAAACATATTTCCACCCAGATTATAATATTATAATATTTCAAGTTTATTTAACAGTGAAAAAGGTATTTACTTAAAACTGTTTACAACTATTAATTTCCTGTTGCAACAGATTACACAGTTTTTAGGTTTTTTGTTCATGGTGGGATGTTTTAAATTACAGGAATATACGAAGATTCCCCATGCATGAAAAAAATAGTTTTATTTTAAATAGACATATTTATTATTTTTCGTGTTTTATAATTTCTTGTATTAGCCTGACCCAATATGATATATGTAAATTGTATCAATTTGACGAATTGTGATTTAGATTATTTTACTAAATTATTTTCATCAAGAAATATTTTCACGACAAAAAGGGTTTAATAATAATTCATATTTTGCAGCCTCGAGAACTGGTCAATGTATACACTACTAGATGTAGAAGTAAATACTGAATGTGGGGCCCTAAACCCCGCCTGGGGGGCCAGGTATGTAAACAATGGCTCTAAACCCCGCCTGTGAGGACAGGTATGTAAACAATGACTTTAACCGGCCCCGCCTGGGGGGACAGGTACGTAAACAATGGTTCTAAACCCCGCCTGGGGGCAGGCGCGCAACTAGGGGGGGGGCAGGGGGTCCAGACCCCCCCTAGCCTGATTAAGGGGGGGGCATGCCTCTCCCTTAAGAAGTCTTGCCCCCCCTGTATGGGGGGCAAGAAATGACGAAGTCCACCCTGTTTTGCAATTTAGCGATTAATGAATCCAGACCCTGAGGAAATTTAAGAGCTCTTATCGTAAAATTAAAAAAAGATAATTGAACGTTAGTTTATTGAGCTTATAGTTCAATCCATATAGCACTTAATACACCATATACACACATACAGACCCCCTTCGTCTCCGAGCCTAACTACTGCCGTAGATCAGAACAGTTTGACAAGGTTCCAATGTGCCTTAATCTTTGTTTTTTTCATTATGCTGTTTTTTCCTGGGAAAGGGGGTTTATCAAGTATTTTTTAGATATTTTCACTAAGTTCTGCCACTTATTATGATATTGCTTTTTTAATACTGTAGTACAACTATTCAATTAATCCTACATGTTCACCGCAAATATTGTGTGATGTGTCATATTAAAAAAAAAATATTTTTCATGTAAAATCATGAATTTTTAATGAAAGGCATTTCTTGTCAGTTTTTGAGTACAATGTACATATTTGATTTATGGATAACTAATGAAAATTTATATATATATATATATCGAGTTAAAGCAAGATATCACATTTGAAATCTGTTTATTTGTTTTTGTTTATAAATTGTTACTTTTATCTTTTAATTCTTTTAAATTTTAATTCTTAAACATTTATTATTCAAATTTCTTATTTTGTATGTTATATATATATATGTTATTTGTATTGAAAATTAATTATTTTTGTGATTTATACCAGAATCAGGGGCGGATAAAGGATTTAAGTGAAGGGGGGGAGGCAAGATTTTTTAGGAACAAAAAAATCATAATTAGAAAAGACTCAAAAAGAGTGAAAATTAATGACTAAAGACTTTTCTATCTGTCTATGGTTTCTATCTGTCTATGGTTTATATCTGTCTATGGTTTCTATCTGTCTATGGTTTCTATCTGTCTATGGTTTCTATCTGTCTATGGTTTATATCTNGTCCCCCCCCCCCCCCCTGTATCCGCCCCTGACCAGAATAGATTTCTTGTTTCATTTTATATCAGATGTGTTGACTTATAACTGAATATCCGGTTGGTAAGGTTAGTTTTTATTGTTTAAGTATAACACACATTTTTCTTGCCCCCCCCCCTAAAAATGTTTAGGGGGGGGGCCAAAAAAATTTTCGCGCTTCGCGTGAAATATTTCCCCCTAGCCCCTCTCTAACCAAATGTCTAGTTGCGCGCCTGCCTGGGGGGCCAGGTATGTAAACAATGGTTCTGAATCCCGCCTAGGGGGCCAGGTATGTAAACAATGGCTCTAAACCCCGCCTGGGGGGCCAGGTATGTAAACAATGGCTCTAAACCCCGCCTGGGGGGCCAGGTATGTAAACAATAGCTCTAAACCCCGCCTGGGGAGTCAGGTATGTAAACAATGACTCTAAACCCCTGCTGGTGGGCCAGGTATGTAAACAATGGCCCTAAACCCTGCCTGGGGGGGCCAGGTATGTAAACAATGGCTCTAAACCCCGCCTGGGGGGCCAGGTATGTAAATAATTAAAGTAAATATGAATTGAAGTGACCTATGGAAAGATGTCAATGCCCGATTTACAATGGTACCCTTGAAACCTTACCTGATCAATAATGTGAAAGATATTGTCGTTTTTCTTGGTTTATAATTGTTTAGTTATTATTATGCATATGCTTTCCTGTACAAGTCACTTTCGAACAGAAACCACAATTGAAAATAATCTGTTTTCAAATTTTAAAACATTGAAATCTACTTCATGCTTCATAGACGAAGTTTCAAAGGATACCAGACATTGGCATCTTTTAATCAGATTCATTTCAAATCTGGCTCAATGTTGAAATTTTTGATTAAATAATTTCAAACAGCTGACTGCTAGGGTATAAAACTAACGCCCATGCCTAGAATGGTCGTCTATTTGATCCGTTTTTAAAACAAATCAAGTTTATTTTGGCTAAAAAAACAAACAAGAAAAACCCTAAATATTAAAACATATAACGTAGAAAATTTGTTGTCCTTGTCCAGCACCAAAACGTTCAGAGATCCAGTGTAGTAATTATTCATCAGTTTTTAAAACCAGGTTGGTTTTACGTACTTACATTATACTACTGTGAACATTCGAGTTCGACTTTTTATTCAAGGAATTCCAAGCTTAGGTTTCTTTTTGTATTCCCACACTCTAATAAATGTCAAATTTTCATCTAACAAAATTTGTTTGAGCACCGGAGCCCCTTACAGTAAAAACAAACTGTAAAAAATTATATTAGCACAAAACTCGAGCAGCCTCAAGGGATACAAATATATAAATATGATTTTAGATAAAAATAGAAACATGTTTCAGGAATGTTTTCCCTGGGTATCGGGAGGTCCTGGTTGCGCAGCAAAGTAATCCTTTAATTGGTACATGTGGAACCATCTCGTGGCAAGTTGTGGAAATTGATATTAGGTAAAATCATTTTTACTGGCCCAGTTCTAACACACAATAGGCCCTGTGCCAGTTTTGAAACTAATGTCCCCTGTGTCCTGTAATATAGGTTTAGATGAATAACAAGAGCTTAAAGTGACTGTAGACGTAAATTTCAAGGTATTTCTCAGTCTCTAGTTAATTATCGAGTGATATGTCCAAATCACAACGATACCCTTAAAAGCTGATAAATTATCGTGTTTGTATCCATGGAAAAGTGTTTAATTCTGACAATTTGCTACATCTTTTGCTAAAGCAAATGCTTAAAATTACACGTCTACAGTATTTACCTGCAAACTTCATGATGTTTATGCTAATTCAATTCGTTGAAAAGACTAAAAACTGAAGTTTGTTAAAACTTTTGACACTTTTATTAAATATGTAACGTTTTTATGAAACATTTACATCTTCAAAACATTTACATTTAAAAAAAATATTTAACGTAGATCGAAAAAAATTATCCAATTTTAAAAAAAAATCAAATCTATTTTTTATGTCCCCCCCCCTCTATTTGCCACTTTTATCTAGTGCTAAAATGTGAATTGCCATTGTATCGAGGTTTATCAAGATATTTGCCATTGTATTGTAACAGTGGGCGAGTTTTGTTGATCTTTTACGATCAGCAATTCAAGGATTTTTTGGATCGCTGAGATCATAGCTACCAAGGGGAATCATGCCCCCTTTCCCCCCCCCCCCTCTTTAACCCTACGGTTGGACTTTAGAGTCCTATTTTGAATCCTAACGGATTTATTTGAGTTTGCATTTGGATTCTATAAATAACCCAAGCGACGCCGAATTTTCCGTTATCTTGAAGACCCAAGCGTTGGGGAGGNCATTCTATATGCCACTTTCATCAAGTAAGAAAATGTTATTTGCCATTGTATCGAGGTTTATCAAGATATTTGCCATTGTATCGAGGTTTATCAAGATTGATTGTTTTAAACTTGGAAAGGAAAACAAAACTGTGTAGAGTGTAAAAGCTGTTTAGAAAGGAGTTTACTTTAACTTTACTCTCTTTACAAATTACCTTTTAAAAACATTTACTTAAAAGGTATTTCCGGTTTAAAGAGGAAGTAAAGTAAAAGCACTTCTTTAACAGCTCGTTTTGAAAATTATTTGAATAGATGTTATAGTGACATTAAACAAACAAATATTTCTATGCAGGAAATCTGAAAAGTCATAATTTGTAGGCTGGCACGTTTTACTCATAGCAGTAACCGTTAAACTCTAATTCTGATCAAAAATAATTTATTTTTAATTGGAGTTTATCTTCAGTCAGTGACTTGTGGATAGTGGTGCAGAAGGAAGTCAATAAACATAATTATACAATCAAATTATTACAATCAAGGATTTCATGATTGTACTCTCCCCAACCTGACTATCACTCTAGGTTTTTAACAGCTATGGCATTTTTGCCAAACGATATTTCGTTGTAATCCACAACATCTCCAGATAGTTAAATATAGGGTAAAAATAGTAGCAAATAAAATAAACAAAATAAAGAGACCAAGAACCAAAAAAATATATATATGTTAAGAAAACAATAACAACTTTTTAATAAGGGAGGCTCGCTTGAATTTATGTTAACAGTCCCTTTAATATCAAGGTGAATCAGGAATATCTTCCCCCCATGTCCTACCCTGATATAAGTACACATCCTGTTCTAGACTTAGCTCCTATCCAATAATCTCTGTAAGCTACTTTAAGTCTCTCATCTCTGAAGCTTCTAATAAGACTGTGAACATATATTTTCTTAACACAAATGTTTATATTAAGTAAAAAAATACCTAGCATAACACAGTTTATATTTTTTAATATATAAAAAAAAGTTCCAATTTTAGTAACTTTTGATTTTGTGAAAGGTTTATATGCACGAAACGTTTAGAATGTTAGTAAACGCTGCACAGCCCTAAAGTAAAGTAAAGTTAACCAACGGTGCACAGCCCTAAATTAAAGTAAAGTTAACCAACGGTGCACAGCCCTAAAGTAAAGTTAACCAACGGTGCACAGCCCTAAAGTAAAGTTAACCAACGGTGCCCAGCCCTAAAGTAAAGTTAACCAACGGTGCACAGCCCTAAAGTAAAGTAAAGTTAACCAATTTTAAAAGACAAACAAAAGAAATGAAAGTGTTGTTTAATTTCACACTTTTCTCCCGAGCCAACATGGTTGAAAACTAAAACAAAAAACAAGATTTTTCTACAATATTATATTCTTTCCTTTTTTCTCTTAGCATGAAAAGGGTTTTTCTCAAATGTTTTTCCTTTCGTTGTTAGATATGTTTATTCATAATTTTTTATATTAATTTGCGCTTATTTTCTTCGATAACAACTTTAAAATGTTTAGATTAATTGTTATGTGGAGTGTACCTTTCAACTTTAATCTCAGGGATTCATATTATGCTATAGGGATGGTTTATCAAAAGGTAATACAAACTATCATAATCATGCTATACATTTTTTAAACTAAATTTTTGAAAGAACACTATCATTTGATTTTTATAAAAATAAGTAAACAAAGTGATGCTAATGATGATAATGATGATAATGATGATAATGATGATAATGATGATAATGATGATAATGATGATATTGATGATAATGATGATAATGATGATAATGATGATAATGATGATAATGATGGTAATGATGATAATGATGGTAATGATGATAATGATGATAATGATGATTATGATGATTATGATGATAATGATGATAATGATGATATGATGATTATGATGATAATGATGATAATGATGATAATGATGATAATGATGATAATGATGATAATGATGATAATGATGATCTAGGGTAAGTTCTCCACCTCTGCCTATTGGTTTAACCAGATGTATTATGGGAATAATTCAGCCTATACACGTAGCAAGGAATACTACAACGTTATTAATTAAAACAATCAATTAAACTAAAATAGAAACGACTAAAACTTTTTTTAAAGTTTAAAACTTTGAATTTATCGAAATAAAATGTTGTACTGTGACCAGGCGGGTCAACCTGTAACCTTTTCCAACTCGAGATTAGTTGTTCATGGATTTATGGAGGCGTTCACATACCATTCTATTCTCAACATATCAGTTCTACCACAGAGAAGGTATAGACTAAACATATCAGTTCTACCACAGAGAAGGTATATATGTCTCCAGTAGTAATTTTCCCGAAGGCTTTTTCCTAAGCGGCGACTTCAATAGGATATTTTCCAAACTGTGCAATTTCTCAACCGCAGCGCTCGGCCCTTACCCAATTCTAGCTGCAGCGCTCGGCCCCTACCCAATTCTAGCAGCAGTGCTCGGTCCCCATTGCAGCCTGCGGCTGTGAATTTGTCACTTGGGAAGTCACTCTAGGAAGTCACTTTGGAAAATACCTAACACACACCAGTGATGAGTAATTCACTTAAAATCTAGCAATACGAAAAAATCCCAAGACGAACGATAAATCGACGATTTTTTTGCGTGTATTAATCGAAAAAAAAAGCATTTTATGTCCCTATTATATGCAAGCTTGTATCGCCACATCACAAATCTTTTTTTCTCGACTTTTTGTGTATAATGTAACGCTTGGAAGTCGTTAATTTTAAGACTTTTTTCGGGTTTGTTAGCCTATACTGACATTAATTCGGATAAAAATCTGAACTAGCCTATACTGACATTAATTCCGATAAAAATCTGAACTAGCCTATACTGACATTAATTCCGATAAAAATCTGAACTAGACTATACTGACATTAATTCGGATAAAAATCTGAACTAGTATACTGATATTTATTCGAATACAATTCTGAACTAGCCCATACTGACATTATATCTGATAAAAATCTGAACTAGCAATATACTGACATTATTTCGGATAAAAATCTGAACTAGTATACTGACATTTATTCGAATACAATTCTGAACTAGCCTATACTGACATTATATCTGATAAAATCGTTTTATTTTATTTTATTAAATACTGTTACATAAGTTTTTCGTACCGTCCCGGTCTGCAATACATAGTCTGTAATTGTACTGTGTAGCTTGCTCTAGCTGGTTAAAGGTCGGCCCGGTACTTGAATTAAACTGGAGTTTACTGTGATATAATGATGATAATAATGATAAAGATGATGAATAATAATAATAATAATATTTCAGCTATAACCTGGCTGAATCTGTTCAGAGGAAACTAAATACCAAACATCAAGCAGATTATGTTGTCAGTAACTCAGCTGTCATAACATCTAGTTCAGCTGTCAAATCTTTAACTCAGCTGTTCATAGCTGTCAGTCTCAACCTGGCGTTCAGCTCATAATCTTGGAATAAATGTTTTTTCAAAAACTTAATTTTATTCAATACTAAGATTAACTTTTCCATAATTAAAACATTTTAAAACACATCGTGAAATTTTGGAGTTGGGGGTTCTTAAAATAAAAAGACAGTTTTATAATCAACGAGAAAGAGGAAACGAAATTTGAAAAATGTTAAAGATAAATTCTACGTTAATAATCAGATGAAAATTAAAGTGATACCCTTGTAGGTCGGAATTGTCCCAATCTAAATAAAAAGTTCTTTGAACTTACAGAAGCAATCCCTTCAGATATTATCCTTCATTGTACAATAAAACTGTACACTCTGTACAGTGTTTAACATAGCAGTACAATTTGTAATTGACGCAATATTGTACAATATGTACAGCTTCATGAAATTCTCCCCAACACAAAATCTTCCTATTTTATCATACAGAGAGAGTCCCGTATCATATTGGATTATCTCAAGCTTATAACGCAAAATCTTCCTATTTTATCATACAGAGAGAGTCCCGTATCATATTGGATTATCTCAAGCTTATAACGCAAAATCTTCCTATTTTATCATACAGAGAGAGTCCCGTATCATATTGGATTATCTCAAGCTTATAACGCAAAAAACATAATACTCAAAAAACCTAGTATTTTCTGGAGGCAAATTTTTATATTAGCCTTATACAATTTTTTTAAAATTATTCATTCTTCTAAAATGTTCTGATTAGTCCCGAAAATCCTATTTCAGAGCTATTAATGATCAAATATGATGTGAGACACCCTGAACATAAACCCACTGTTAAAAAAATTCTAACATTTTGTTTGTAATATTAAACACAGAAAACATTTCGATATAAAGATCATTTTCTTCGAAACTAATAGTAAAATGTTAGCGATATATAATAAAAAATACAAACTATGTTATTAGAATTTTCTAACAATAAGTTTGTTTAATCGAAATGGTTTCGATAGTTCGATTTTAACAAATTAATTTTTGTAAATTGTGTACACTGGTTTAATGGCAATGCTTATTCTGTGATATTACTATTTACCTAAGAGAGGAGGTTCAACTAGCCGTAACTAGTTCAACTACTAAAATTTGTTCATAAATTTCCAAATCTGGTAAATAAATTAAACCAAATAAAAGTTAAATTATTATAAAATATTTAAGTTGCTATATCCGAAAAACAACTTTGATTTAAGTACAGTTAAAAGACTGTGAGTGGTGTACAGGCAGTGTAAAAAATGTTGTTGACAATCAAACTTATGTTAAAACCAATCCCAAGAATATAACCTCTATAACCTCTTTTTAATAAAACAAAAAGAGATTTGACCCCGGCCTGCACATATCTTTTTTGTTACATGAAAGGAATGTAATTTCAATTGATTTTCCATTAAAAGTGGAGCATGTCCCCTCTATACCTTAATCTGATCAATAATGTGGAAGATATCGTCGTTTTTAATTTTGACAATTTCTAAGTAGAAATGTGCAAGTCAAAGGATTTGAATCTTTGTAACAAACTTTGATTTTCTAATACCTATATTTTTTCCACCTGATAGTATAATACTTTGATATTTCAAACTTAGATTTTTTCATCTAGTAGAATTCATAGTTTGAAATATCTAAGGTCTACGGCATTGGATTACAAATACATAAAAATTAGAAAATCATAGTTTGTTACAAAGACTCAATTCCTTCATAGAGAAAGCACACCTAAAAATAATCATTCTTAAAGAAAAAATTATGAATATCTAATGAATTCTTGGTCAGATATGAAAGATTTAAATGTAACTGAATTGTGAATCCGACATGGCAGTTTATAAATGGAGAGTCGCTTGAAAGTATGTCTAAAATAACTGTTGGTTCCATTTTGTCCTTGTTTATTTCTTTTTTTTATCTTTTAATTTTGTTTTAAAAACCAATTTAATTATTTACTTAAAATTAACATTGTTATTAAATTACAACTTTGAATTATTTAGATTAAAAACTGGTGAATTTGATGCAATATTATTTTCATCGCTTCTTGCAAATCTGCCATAAACTTACACAAGCATTGTGTATTGCATACTAGTGACTGCACAGTGTTTAAAAAAAGGATTAAAGGAATTGAGTTTTTGCCACAAACTCTGATTTTTTAATTCAAACATCTTTGCGGTGACCTTTGATAGTTTAAACTGTAAATTCTGTTAGATCAAATAATCTAATTTTAATATATCAATGGTTTACACCACCGGATTGGAAAAATATAGGGATTAGAAGAATGAGTTTGTGGCATAGACTCAATTCTTTTGATTAAAAAATAAATGTGCTCTGAGGTAGAACTTTATGAATTCGATACACGCTCAAAAAGAACCAAAATATATTTAGTTTCAATTCAATGACCTTGCAACTACTTTACTGCAGAAGTATATATTAAACTAGCTGTATTGAGTTAAACTACAATTCTCTGATTCATAAAATTCTATCTCTGAATTCCACAGCATAAACCCCACACATTATAACTCCACAAAACCTGCCATGTATTCCTTAACTTATAACTTTTTACATAAAGAAAATGTTCTCCCCCTAAACCAAGTTTTGTAAAATCCTAGAACCTAAAAGGTTCCGACTCAGTGTACCCTGGCAAACTATTTGTTGAATAGATGTTGAGAAATATTTGTAAAACTTGTTATTCATGGAATAAATTTAGTAGATTATCTGATTGTATTATTTGAATAAATGTCGCTCTTTAAAGGGACTGTCAGTCTTAGTTCAAGTTTCCTTAATTTACAGCTTTACTTCTCGATTCCCAATGGTACCTTTCAGCCTTTTATCGGGTAATCAAATTGGAAGAAATCGTCGTTTTTCTGTCAATTTTCTTCATTGTCTCTACTGTATTGTGTCGCAAGTGACTTTTTTATTGAACAGAATCGAAAATTATCGATTTTTAGAAATACAAGGATAACTCAATCATTTAAATATAGGATCGCTTTAAATTTTGATAACAGTCCGTTTATTCGAGCTGTTTACTAGATTTTTAATAAATGTATACATTTTTAAACTTTTCTATTTTGATCTGAAAATGACGAAATATCAAAAGTTTGAGGGGAAACATGGTTCTGGGGTTTCCTTTAAAAAGTGTTTAAAAGTTTAAAAGGGGTGGTTTAAAGTTTAAAACCTTTAAAACTTTAAACCTTTAAACCTTTATCTGATTAAGGATAAATGTCAGAATTCTCCCTTTAAACCTGACATCTGATTGATAAATGTCAGAATTTCCCTTTAAACCTGACATCTGATTAAGGATAAATGTCAGAATTCTCCCTTTAAACCTGACATCTGATTAAGGATAAATGTCAGAATTCTCCCTTTAAACCTGACATCTGATTAAGGATAAATGTCAGAATTCTCCCTTTAAACCTGACATCTGATTGATAAATGTCAGAATTCTCCCTTTAAACCTGACATCTGATTAAGGATAAATGTCAGAATTCTCCCATTAAACCTGACATATGATTAAGGATAAATGTCAGAATTCTCCCTTTCAACCTGACATCTGATTGATAAATGTCAGAATTCTACTTTGCTTTTTTCTGTAGCCCTTTATATGTACCTTTAGCACTACAGAGCACTTTTTGTTAGCTTTGGTTTTTAGGAAGTAATTGGCAAAATTCTCATCAATTTTTGCTTAAGAGCTTGCAACCTGGAAATCGCAGTAGTCATTGTCAATCAAACATACCAAGCTTTAATTGAAGAATCTCTTAAAATGAAGTGTAGAGGTTGAATAGATAAAACCTAATAAATAATTGTATTATCTATATTTTCCATACACCATGCCGTGTTTAAGAAATAAAACCAATTTACAACAATGCTAAAACTATACAAAGACCCCCTGCTGTTGAATCTTGTGTTTAGAAATAAACACATTTGAATATAAATACAAAATACTACGTTGCACTTTGTACAGCTTAATTTTGCCAAAGTAATGTTAGTAATTATTCACTGTCAACTAGACAGAAAAGAACGTTACAACTAAGACTTTGTGACCTCGTCAAGTCTCAGCTCAATACACAAGGTGATAAGCATAGTTATCTGGTTACATATTAGAAATTCAAATCTAGGAATTATGATCGAAAACATAAAAGATTTTAATCTTTCGTGCAGTTTACTTTAGTTTAACGTGCAGTTTACTTTAGTTTCACGTGCAGTTTACTTTAGTTTCATGTGCAGTTTAGTTTAACATGCAGTTTACTTTAGTTTAAAGTGAAGTTTACTTTAGTTTAACGTGCAGTTTAAATTAGTTTAACGTGCATTTTACATTAGTTTAATGTGCAGTTTACTTTAGTTTAACGTGCAGTTTACTTTAGTTTGAAGTGCAGTTTACTTTAGTTTAACGTGCAGTTTACTTTAGTTTAAAGTGCAGTTTACTTTAGTTTAACGTGCGGTTTACTTTAGTTTAACGTGCAGTTTACTTTAGTTTAATGTGCAGTTTACTTTAGTTTAACATGCAGTTTACTTTCGTTTAAAGTGAAGTTTACTTTAGTTTAACGTACAGTTTAGTTTAGTTTAACGTGCAGTTTACTTTAGTTTAACGTGCAGTTTACTTTAGCTTAATGTGCAGTTTACTTTAGTTTAACATGCAGTTTACTTTAGTTTAAAGTGAAGTTTACTTTAGTTTAACGTGCAGTTTAAATTAGTTTAACGTGCAGTTTAAATTAGTTTAACGTGCATTTTACATTAGTTTAATGTGCAGTTTACTTTAGTTTAACGTGCAGTTTACTTTAGTTTGAAGTGCAGTTTACTTTAGTTTAACGTGCAGTTTACTTTAGTTTAAAGTGCAGTTTACTTTAGTTTAACGTGCGGTTTACTTTAGTTTAACGTGCAGTTTAATGTGCAGTTTACTTTAGTTTAACGTGCAGTTTACTTTAGTTTAATGTGCAGTTTACTTTAGCTTAACGTGCAGTTTACTTAAGTTTAATGTGCAGTTTACTTTAGTTTAACGTGCAGTTTACTTTAGTTTAATGTGCAGTTTACTTTAGTTTAACATGCAGTTTACTTTAGTTTAAAGTGAAGTTTACTTTAGTTTAACGTGCAGTTTAAATTAGTTTAACGTGCATTTTACATTAGTTTAATGTGCAGTTTACTTTAGTTTAACGTGCAGTTTACTTTAGTTTAAAGTGCAGTTTACTTTAGTTTAACGTGCAGTTAACTTTAGTTTAACGTGCAGTTAACTTTAGTTTAACGTGCAGTTTACTTTAGTTTAAGGTGTATTTGTTTCCTTTAGAATTTGTCCTTTAGAAGTGTTAAGATAATTCTCTTAAATGTTAAATGTTTTTGATTGCGATTTTTGAAGGAATTGAAGTGAAGATATAAGCTGTAAAAAAGAACAGGATTAAGACGATGAATTTCTTATTTTTAAGATAGAAAAACAACTTGTTCTGAGTGTTTTTACAATATCTGTAGAAAGAGTAAATCTGTAAATAGAACCTTTTACCACAAATGAGAACGAATGAGTGAGAGCAAAAAGTTTAGAAGAATTATCCGTGAGATAAATCATGAAACTAAGCAAACTAATGGGAT